ATAATGTTTATGGAAATAAAAAAAAGAGCACTAAAGAAGGGAGTTGTGTACATAAAATTATACTGTTCTTAAGTTATTCCATTTGAAATGTGATAAGTGGGAGGTGTGAAGAGAGAAGTGGAAAGTTGTAACATCAGAAGTGGAAAGCATCATGTGTGAAGTACAGTATCAATCTAACTAGATATTGAAATTGAAAACTACATTTTGTTAGCCCTATAGCAACTACTAATGAAATAACAAAGAGGTCTTGCTGAGAAGTTAGTAAAGGAAATAAAACAAATTATTGTATTGGACGAATACCCTCACACTCCCCAAAAAGAAAAAAGTAAGAAAAGAACAACAGAAGAGCAAAACCGGAAGACACAAATGGAAGAGAAATGGCAAGATGGTGGACTTCAGCCAACCACAGGAGTAGTCACGTAGAATATAAATGGACTAAATACTCTAAAAATCAGAGCTTCTCAGACAGAAAACAAGCAAGATCGAATCCTCTGCTCTTGACAAGAGACACAAAGAAATTCCAGGCCTGTGTGGTTTCACCAATAAATTCTATCAAACATTCAAGGAAGACAGAATTCCAGTCTTACACCACTCTCCCGGAAATCAGAGGGGAAAGAATTGCTATCGACCTCTTTCAAGAGTCCAGCATTCCAAAACCAGACACTCATATTATCGAAAAAGAAAACTACAGACCAATATCCCTCATGAATATACATATGAAAATCCTTAAACTATTAGTCAATGGTATCTGTAATTGGCCTGCTTTCTCTTCCATTGGTACATTTCCTCTTTTAGCCCTTAGTTAAATTTATCAGAATGTTGTTTGTTTTATTGATATTTACAAAGACCCATAAAAGCATTAATTTTAATTTATGTTTTATTTTAATATAATTTCAGCTTTTAGGCTGTGTTAAGGGTCTGTGTGTGTCTAGAATGTAATATGTTTTATTTTGTTTCCAATATCCTACGGCCATTTAAAAAGACTGTGAAGTATAAAATATATACATCTAGCAAATAAACTTTATTTACTGTATTATTCAGTTTCCCTATAACCCATTTATTCTTGGCTATTTGATCTGTTAAAGATTTGCAGAATTGGCTTAGTGTCCTAACTTGGTTATGGTTCCATTAATTTCCCCTCATAATACAGCACTTGTTTTATTTACGCTGATTCAGTGTTATCTAGCATAAACACATTGTGTATTGAAAGCAATTATCACTATCAGTCATGTTATTGATACTAAATATACCTCCCGTTTATCTTTAATTATCCAGTTCAGGAATCTCTTCCCCTAACAAGCCAGCCGTCATTCCCCAGGCTCCCTTCCTCCACATCCCCTCTGCCCTGGCAGGTGCTTAATTCTTCTGTTGTGCTCATAGTCCTGTATTAATGTGATGTACTGTGTGATGTTCTTCCTCATTAGACTGTGACTTCCCTGAGAATAGGGTTCATGCCTTATTTTCTTTTAAATTCCAATTCTTAGCATAGTTCCTGGATTTGGCATGGAGCTGGGTAAACATTTTTTGAATCGGATTGAAAGAAAAGTGACAAAAAACAGTAAGAATTGAGAAGCAGTCATTGCAGGTCTTAGAGGATGTGCTGGGTATGAAGTCAGACAACGTGAAGAGTTTGAAAACAACCCTAAAAACAGAAGGAAAGATGCAAGCAGCTTAGAAACCGCCCTCACCACCCCTGCTCTGCCTCTCCCCCAGCTCCTTGCCCGGCTCTTCTTTCAGTGTGTCAGCTGCCCAGTCTCCTCCCTGTACCTCCTTCCCTCACCTTTTACCCCAGATTGAAGCAGGGCAGAGGGCATGCTGTTTGTGTGGCAAGTCTGCAGGATAAAAACCCTGTGTTTTGACAGCTCAGTGGAGCTGGGGTCAGTCTAAGCGGAGATGAGTCCCAAACTACTTCTCCAGCTGTAAGCTATTGCTTTTCATCTCCACCCTGCTCAGTCTTCTCACCTGGGGAGGAAGGGGCAGGGAAGGGACCTGACCAAGAGGACCACTTGCAATTCCCAAAAGTAGTTGCTTTACACACTGGCCTTTGCGCCTCCTTTGCCCTCAGCCTGGAATGCCCACCGCCCGCGCCCTTTGCACCTCTTGCAATTCTATCGATCTTTCAGGAGCCAGCTCAAATGTCAACTCTTCTAGGATGCCTTTCCTTGATTGTAAGGAGTGTTGATGATGTCCTTCTGTGTGCTTCTAGTATAACCTGGTCATTTAGCTATCATAATTTTTTAACATACAGACAATAGTGAATACTTTTGTTAAGATATCTTTCTCTCTTATCATCCTGCGGGATCCTCACAGACAGGACAAATTTAATCCATCTTTTTTTACTCTCAATACCTAGTGGTTAGCACATAGTAATACTCAATAAAGGTTGTGAACTTATCAGAATTGAGGGGGTAAATGAATTAACTCACCGAAAACTGGAGGGAAGAATGTTTTGGTATGGAGGACCGGCCTTCTCAGAAATCTGGTATCTCTGATTTCCAAAACTTTGCACATATAAGTTCCCACTGTCTAAAAAATTCCACCACTGACTCATTTTTCAAGGACTCGTAAGAACCTTAAGTCCTTGGCTAGAAGGAACTCCAGCTCCCTTAATCACTAAAGCAACCTCATCTGCAGGCTCTGGAGCCCAACAGATGTGGAGTCACGTTTCTGTTCTAACCTTGCTAGAGTCTTCGTCTTGGTCAGGTTGTAATTTTTTGAGTGAATTTTATCAGCAGTAAAATGCAGATATTAACTCCTACTTCTTTTGGCATAACCAACTGCCTGTGAATGTTTATATTCTAATAACTTTTGCACGAAATCTAGTCTGTGATTTATGGCATTCCCCGGCGTCCCCAGAGTATCGTGGAGATTAAATGAGATGGCATAGACCACTGATCGGAATGGCATTGGGAGTTCATTGCCACGAATCTCCCGTTGCTTGAAACACAGCAATGATGGATGAGCTGCGCTTACAAACAAGAGGAAGCTCTTGGGGGCCCAGAGCCTAACTGGAGCCTTCTGTAGTGAGCAGAGCCGAAGTTGCAGGCCCGCTGAGTTCTACGTCTGGAAGCAGGCAGAGGCAGCCTGGAGTGACTGTGACATCTGTGAGGTAATGGGAATCAAATGCACTCCACACGGGGTGGGGGTCCCTAGCCAGCGCATTGCATGAAACAAGAGTAAGGGCAGCATTTTTGCACCTGGGAAATAAGGTAGAAAAAAGATCCTGTGGACTCTGTTCTGGGGCTGTGGCTTATATAAACTGTTCACGCCTTGGCTGAAGAAATATTTTAAAAATTCACTTAGGATTTGACCCAATTCCTTGCTAAAACAGTGCTGGGATCTGCTGGGTGATATTTGCAATATCAGTCCAGGAGGGAGCCCCAAGCCACCAATATAAGATCTGATTATGGTCTGGATGCGGGCATCTGGATACAATTGTGAAGCCTCTCGATTGCAAGCCGTGAGTATAGAGAGAAGACAAATAAAATGCCAAACGAAGAAAACAGCCTCTCAAGATGAGTCTGCAAAGGGCAGTTTCAGGCAGCCTGGGACGTTCTAGGAGCTCACAAAATAATGGCGCCATCTTTCCTTTTCTGCAGTGGTGCTATCACTTCCTAATTTTTCTTATACATATTTAAATACTCATATTTTCTTCTGGACAATGTGCTCCTTAAGTGGTTTTCTCTAGTCCCCCCGCCCCCCTCCTTGCAGGAGTACAAGCCCCGGGAAAAAAGTAGAAACTCAGGGACTGTTGGCTTTTGGCAGAAATCTGGGTATGCCAGATGCTGTGACTCTGTAGTGGAATCATTGCAAAGAACCAGTGGGTGTGATCAATTTCTGCATGAAAGGGAGCTTGAAATACTTTCTTTCCGTCAGACCATTTCTGAAGACCGGGTGGTTGCTCTGGGGAGCTTTTCTTATTTCTTAGTGGTAATAACATCCTCCACAACACAGCTTCAGTGCGCAGGAATGCTTCTGGCCATGGATGCAGCCTCCACTGGAGAGCAGGAAAGTCTCAGGCCAAGACCCTCCTGTGTTCAAGGCTCGTCAAGTGTATTTCATCTTTCTGGCTGGCCAGTACTGTTTAGTGTTATTCTCCCCGCTGTCTTTTTGGATCTTTCTTTTTTCCCTCCACCTATGTCATTTGCTTGTGCCGGCAGCTGTGTGCTCTATAGTCTGGAGAAGCCAGTTGCCTTCAAAACGGTAGGATGGTTTCCTTTGTTATTTATTTATTTTTCCTCCCATGTTTGATTTGATATTTTCTGTGAATTTCCCATCATTTGGAAGCACTCTCTCCGTGCAGAGCCTGGGGCTACAGTTTGTCTTTAAATGAACCTAACTTTGCCTCTGAAATTCTCTCCATTAGTTGTCACTATTTTCATCCCAGTCTGTTAGCCCACATTCATTCTTCAGCTTCTCTCTTTTTCACCTCTAGCTCCCCAGCACTCTCTCTTTGTTCTGAAGTGTCTGGGCTTCAAGAGGAAGAGCCCTGTGTCTTCCCGAGGCAGGCGTCTCACTGCCACCAGGAATCAAGTCAGCTCTCACTGTATTTAAATTTCATGAGCCAGCAGTCACACAGTATTCACATCCTCCTTTGAACTCACAACATTCTCATCTGAATGTGCATAAGTCAAAAGCCAGGCAAGTAAGGCAAGCCACCGCAGAGTGAGTGTTTTTAGACTCCAGTCTAGACTTAGCGGTCCAAAGCCCGTGTTTCCTCCATCCGCCAGGATGACCCCTCTCTGACCACCATCTGCTGTGCCCGCCTCTCTCTGTCCACCCATCTCATCCCCACGCTTCTTTCTGGTGTTGCCAGTCTATTTTGCTTAGAATGCCTGTCATAGTTTTTGAAAGAGGGATATAAATCTTTTGCCTGGGCTGAAATACTTACTCATTGCTCAGTTGTTGGCAGTCTGCTACTGCCCTGACAAATTTACTGAAATTACAGTCCTGGCCTTTCTCCCCGGTCCACCTCCTATTGTTGAAAACTTTCTTCCTACCTGGCCATGGCTCTGCTTCTTCCTAATCCGGCCTCCACCTGTCCACATTGCTTCCTCACTGGACTCTGGCTGGGAACAGGTCTGCAAGCAAACAGATGTTAGATCAGCACAGTCCACTTTCCTGCCACTCAGCATCCATTCTCAACTTCTGCCTTTATTTAAATTGCACACAGCAGCAACTTCACGAGGCAGCAGGAGAAACAACATGTCCTATTATTCACTGGACTCATCTCCAAGTCTAGCATCTCAGGTGATATACCATCATCCGTATTACTCCTAGATGTGGCTTTGTGTGGTCTATTGACCTGGGAAGGGAAATGTTGGTGTAAATACCACTCACGTACCTCACTCAAAATAATAGGGGAAGGGAAAAAAATAAAAGAAGAAATAACTGATTGATATACACTTCTATACTTAAAAATGTGCATCACTGCTACAATCTTATTTCTGTACCAAGCCATGGGCTGCTGTTTCTTCTTCCACCACACTTTTCAGGTTCTCTTTGCCTTCAGCCAGCATCTTGGCTGGTTGGGATTCTTGAACTGGTGGAAAAATGCAAAACTTCATTCAGGAAAAGTCTGAGTTCTTATAGCCCCACCTCTGTTGGCTTGCTTTTGCATTTTATTAACTTGTGCTTTTGGATATGGGTGCTCCAGTCAACTTTCTAGGTTCCAGACACAGTCCTTCCTGCCTCCAATGGTAGATGCAACACAATTCTCCTTTGTTAATTGGTGTAAATAACCCCAGTCAGAACAGTGCTCCATTCTCTTCTTTGTAGTTCAGTGGCCTGAAGAGCTCAAAATGTCTATGAGGCAACCTGACCTTCTAATTCAATGGGATTGTTAGTGATTATCCTGTGGAAGCAGGAAACCAAGACCTGTAAACCCAGAGAACCCCGAGTCACAAGGATAAAAAGCCAAAACAATTGTGGATGGGTTGTTTGGCATAATGTCACAAAGGGTTGCTCTCAAATCTGCTTGTGTACTGCACTCAGGTAATGTGGCAATGGAAGAAATAACGACGTCTATCAGCTACTGGTTCAAAGCATCTACCACAGCCTACAGGAAGCCTCCTACAGTCCTAGTGCACAAGATTTTGGCACCTTAACTAAGTCTTCAGTCAGGCATTTTACCATTTTATCAGATGAGTTGGGGGCGATGTGGTCTAGTCAGAGGATTTCGTGGGCTTAAGTCCATTGGCAAACTTACATGGCTGTAAAATAGTCTGTGGTCAGAACTAATGTTACGAAGAAACCATAACACTTGAAAGGTAGTGTTGGAAGAGTTTCAAATGGGGAAGATAAATACATATTTAGAATAGATGTCTATTCTTGTGAAGAAAAATCACTGTTCCCTCCATAAAATAAGGTGTCCAATGAACTGGAACTACTAACAAGTAGTGAAAGGTCCTGGATCAGGGGCTCAGCACTGGGCAGTGCTGTTAGCAAGGTGGGTACTCAGCACATGGAGTCAGGTCAGCCTTGGTGGGGGGAAACCCTTGTTGTTAAACCCATGCTTACCTTCTATCGCTGCCACCCTAGCCTCTTTACTCATGGACCTATTGATCAAGTAACAGGATGGCTAAAGAAAGAGGCTGAATTTCCATGCATTGGGCCATCATAAAACACTAAACATTACAAGTGAAGTGTTTTATATTTTATATTTTACTTATGATGTTAATCAGCTTCATGAATCCAGAGGTTTATGTCTTTCACCAATTTGGGAAGTTTTCAGCCATTATGTTTTCAAATACTCTCTTTATCCTCTTCTTCTCGGACCCTGATCACATAAATGTTGGATATTTTGTTATTATTCCACAAGTAGCTGAAACTCTGTTCATTTTCTTTAGTCTGTTTTCTCTATGTTGTTCAGATTGAGTAAACCATATTGGTCTGTTCTCAAGTTCACCGATTTTATCTTTGGCATCTCCATTCTACTGTTGAGCCCATCCCATGAGATTTTCATTTCTGTTATTGTATTATTCAGGTCTGTAAGTCCCCTCCCCCATTTTTTTTTCTGGTGAGGAAGATTGGCCCTGAGCTAACATCTGTTGCCAATCTTCCTCTTTTTTCTTGAGGAAGATTGTCCCTGAGCTAACATCTGTGCCCATCTTCTTCTATTTTTTGTATGTGGGACACCACCACAGCATGGCTTGATGAGCAGTATGTTGGTCCATGCCCGGGATCCAAACTCATGAACCCCAGGCTGCTAAAGCAGAGCATGCAAACTTAACCACTAAGCCGCAGGGCTGGCTCCTATAATTCCCTCTTCAAAATAACTTCTATTCCTTTGCTCAGGTTTTCTATCTTTCCATTTGTTTCTGAAGAATTTGTAGTTACCTGTTGAAGCATTTTTATAATGGCTCATTTAAAATTCTTGTCAGATAATTCAAATATCTGATTCATCTCAATGCTGTTATGAGTGAATTGTCTTTTTCCTGCAAGTTGTGATTTTCCTGATTCTTGCTATGACTGGGTGGTTCTTTAACTGCTCTGGATCCTATGTAAATCCTTTATTTTAGCAGGCAGTCACCCTGTTTAGGTTTATCACAAAGGTTTCAGACTATGTTGGCGGGCTTTGGTTTCAAAGACAATTGAATTTGCAGTATCTTTGCAGTGCTATTTTGGTCTGCTGGATTTATCACATTTGGTGGGATGCCCAATGGTTCCTGCTGGTACTTCCTGAGGCTCTGGGAAGGGTTTCCTCAGGCTGGGCTGCCCGTTGCCACTAGGTGGACAAAGGAAATCTACAGCCCGTGGGAAGGGAGTGTGCTCCCCAGACCAGGCCCCTTGTTATGGCAGGACAGCCTCTGCTAGTGCTTTCAAACCTACGTGCTGTTGTCAGAGGGACTGTCACTCAGTCTGGCAGAGGAATGATCCTACCTGGGCTGCTTTCTGTTGCTAGGTTCGGGGTTGGAAAATGCTGGGCCTGGCCTCCTGTTGTTTGTTGTGTAGGACGAGGGGCACTAAGACGCCCTTTCCTTATGTTCTTTCTCCAGTCCTGGGTTCCCCAACCAGTTTGCCTTTCTCTTTCTGCTTTTCAGAGTTCTCCTCGATTGGCTCTCGCGTTATTTGCAGGAGTTGTAGTTGTTCTTAGCGAGGAGAATCAGACATAAACTAGTTTAGGACAACTTGTCTGGATACGGAGTCCCCAAGAGAAGAAATTTTTTTTAAAAAAGATGTCTATTGTTTTGCATTGCTGCTAAGTTAAAACCTTTCTTAATCTCTCCGTTCTCATCTACAACCAATTTTCACAACGTCTATCATACATGCGCACACACACAATCATCGGTAAAATCCACATATAAGAATGAATGGGGGTGTGTGTGTGTGAGAGAGAGAGAAAGACAGACAGACAGAGAGACAGAGACAGAGAGATAATCTAAGAGAATTCACAACAACATGCTATGGAACTAGAAATAGTGTTTATAGAAAGAAGTAATGCAGAAATTATGAAACTCCAGCAGTAGCTGAAATCAGAGCCAAAGGCCTTCATGAAGACCTGAGTCTCTTGTGCACTTAAAAACAATCTCTGAGAAAGAGAAAATACCACAAAATGTGGCCTGGGGATTCTAGGTGATCTTAACAAGACTAGGAGACGCCAGTCTGTGTGTGAATTAATGCACTTTTCCTTACTTTGAAATCAGGACTTGTGTTGTTTTGAGTTGTAAAATTGGTAAGGTGCTTGGAAACAAGTTTGAAATTTAGATGAAGTGGCTCTACATTCTTTATAATCACCTGTGTGATATCTGTGTTTGGATTTCAAGGTGACAGCTGATATAAAGCATCCCTTTGATGCTCTGAGCTGTCGAGAGAATAAAATCTGTGCTCATTTGTCTATTCATAATCCATGCACATCTGTGAATTTTGAGGTGGCACATACATTTCTACCAGAAAGAGTGTTCAACATTTGGTTGGTAGCTGGTTCCATGGGCATGGTTGGAATTGCCAGCAGGAACATGCAAAGAAGGGAATCAAAATTAGTCTTGGGAGACCAATATATCTATGGGGCAGGCAAGGTCAAAGTCCTGAGAATGGAGACTCATACAGAACAGAGAAACAGTGGCAGCAATATAGTATTTTATCATATTACTCCAAGGAGAGAAGGATGGTAAGGTCAAAGACTTGCCCTTGAAGGAGTCTGAGATGGCATTGTGGCCGTCAGTTTCAGTGAGTGGTGGGAATGGAAGATAAATTGCGTTGGTTGAGCAGTGATCACGGAATGAAGAAGTCTGATCTTTAAGGAAAGATAGCATTTCTTGCTGAACTTTGCATTCCCAATAAAGCCCTGTGGGGAATCTGGCACAAGACAGATGTTTAATAATACCCCCATTTGCTCACTTGGAGTCCGGGTTTCTCTGCCTCCTCTGGGGAACGGTTCTGGGCACTCTTCCAAGGAATGACTAAGTTTCCTGCAGCTAGCCTTGTGACTCCACCTCCTAATGGTGCTTGACACGCACCATTGTGAGCCCTTGGGACGAAGCCATTAGCCCCAGCTCTGCTGTGGCTGACCTCAGCCTACTCGCTAGTGAGGGCTTGACGCTTATTATCTTAGAGAGGCTAGAGAGGGCACTGCAATATACACAAGGGTTTGCTTAGATGATTTTACAGAGTGATGACAATTCATCTTTTATAAGTGCAAATGTTAGAATAAAGGAAACACACTGTTTAACAGCCATAGGTTTAAGAGACGGTGTTGTCAATCATGGTCTCTCACTGGGCAAAGCCATTTTTAATTATCTGGTCTGGGAAAATAATCAAATGGAGAACATAGTTCTTGAACTGATGAATGAAAGTTGGATGCTGTCCAAATGATGCTTTTTTCCCCTGTGGTACTGACCACCTGATCAGCACGATCCACCATTCTCTGCTGCTGTTTCTCATCTGGATGCTTTCTCTCCTCTGGAGTGGCAATGTTCCCTCAGCCATGACGGGGCCACCTAGCCTCCCCATTCCATCTCTCCTCTTGGCTGCAAGTAGGTGGTGGTTTCCCCGGGCCTTGTCCTCTGGCTCCATTCCCCTGTGTCCCTTTGAGTCTTTTAGGAGGCTCCCTTTGAACTAAAGAGTTGTACCTGGCTAAGCATCCTGTGCG